AATGGTTTAGTTGTTACTTCTTAATTGGTTGTTACTTCTGGTATGTTTTTTCGTTTAGCAAACCATTAAAACTTTTGCAGGAAGTTGTGTATTTAGGTCCATTATGTACCCACACAAACTGTGCAGCTCAAAATAAAAGTATTCCAAAATTATTGCCTTTCTTCCTTCATCGATATTGTAAGTATTACATCACGAAAATTCTTTTTTTACAATATAAAAACTCAAGATATTGAATTTTCCAGATTAGGGACTTGTTTGAGAGTCTTAAAACCAGCTGTAAAAATTGCTTAGTTTTAGAAGTGCTTACATCTTGTATTATTGCTAATTTTCTAGTATTCTTATCCATTTATATAACAAAGCTAGTATGCTAATTCGACTCAAGTAATATATACTATCTGTTAATAGTAGGGGAGATTATATGTAAAAGTTATACACTCTCTGAATATATGACTGTTCACGGCAAAGTTAGTTAAGTTACCGGTTATTAATGAATCTGAACCTTGAGAAGAATAGTCGAGATTCAGTGGGATCCGATTGAGGTGGGTTTAGTGAGACAGATGTATAGATTGTCTCCCTTTATAAGTATGTTTACGTTCTGTCCTGGTACAGATAACAATCGTAACCCTGTGTGTGATACACCCCAGTTCTGAACTTATTATGTTTAAGCCTTTTGTCCGGTTGACCGAACACATGGAAACTCGGCCATTTGATCCTTGTCACTTGCGTTTTTGAAAGAGAACTGATCGTGGAATGCAACCATCCACGTCTCCCGAACCTGTGATGTGCCTGTACATCTTATCATTCAGATCCTAAAACTAAAATACTTTTATTTGAAATTTTTAACAGCGCTGTTCTAAACACGTTGTCCAATCATTATCGCTCGTTTGACGTTATCACAAAATTTTCTTGGACAATATCTTCAAAACTTTGGACATTTTTAAAAATTTAAAGAAATGTTATGCTATCAACTAAAGGCTTCAATTTTGTATGAGTTGAGAATTTTGTCCAAATTTTTGCTGTCCTGTATTACGTTATTTAAGCACCTTTTCTATGTATCGCTCACCTGTGTAAAAGTTTCAGAAAATTTGCTGTATCATACTGCTTGCGTATTAGTATGTAAATATTAACTCAGAAAGTTTCAGGGTCAATGACAGGTGAAAGAATACAAGAAATTTATATATAGTCATCACCTTTACATTTCTGAAGCCTATATATATACAAGATGTATAAGGCTGCGATCAAATAGAATATGTTAAAAAGCAATATAAAACCAAAAGGAAAGTTAATGTCTTTCAGGAAATATCAATAGTTTGATAAGGTCATCACATCATTATAAAGAAAGAACTTTTTATTTTCTCAATATCGATGCTGGGATAATTTAAGAATGTGATGTCATATTTCCTCAGGCTTAAAGGCTGGTGCATGATTTATCTTCAGACAGCTTACATATTAAGAAAGTTTGCCTTTCGTCCTTTAAGACAGGTTGTTTCTTAAGAAAATGTTGTCTATTAAGATGAAATTTGCATTTTAAGACAGGTTGTCTCTGAAGACAGTTTGCCTCCGAAGACAGTTTGTAAATTGAGACAATTAATGTTGTCTATTTAGTATTAAGACTGAGTTTGCCTTTTAAGACAGGTTGTCTCTGAAGACAGTTTGCTCCCGAAGACAGTTTGTAAATTGAGACATTAAATTGCCTTTTAAGGCAGGTTGTCTTTTAAAACAGTTTGCCTCTGAAAACAGGTTGTTTCGTAAGACATGTCTTCCCAGAAGTATGTTCTGAAGACAGTTATCTAAGGATCAATATAAGAAGCTAATTCAAGGTGTTGGAAGCTATCACGATTGATCACTATCAAAAAAAATGTGCATGATTGTTTCAAATATCATCCCCGTGATATATTTCTGTTTCATACCAAACACAGTTTGAGGATTTGAAAGGTTTTGACATACAGTTTGTGTACAGGTACACCATTAACAGGTAAACTGTTACCAAATTGCCATCAGGTGGACAGGTACCTATATATATATATATATATATATATATACACACCACGGTCAGTACCTACTCTCCGACCCCCAGGATATTACATTAAAGCCTTACTACTCCTAATAGCTGTTTACACCACAATCTTTTAACCCAAGTTATCGCAATTTTAGAAATCGGCCAAATCTAATGATAGCGTATTTGTTTGTGTGTAGACAAATTGAACTATATAAGGCAGACGTTCCGCCTGACTGGTCACGAGTTTAACCGACATGAACAGGGATGGGAATGTTGTCCACTTTGTCATTGTAAACAACACATCTCTGCGTATATCGTGATGCTCCTTACTGACTGTCAGGCTTTGGTATAAGTTTATTGCAGATGTTTTGAATCAACTTCCAGATATACCTTAATATTTTTTAATTTATTCAGAACTTCTTTTATCCGACCTTTGTGTACTCAGGTAAACATACATATATAATCAGCATTATGATTTAACAACATTTCTAATGAAAACAGAGACCTGTGTATCCCAATATCCTGTCTAATCTGACCAATATGTTTGTCCCCAAGGGTGTCAGATTAGACAGGTTTTACTGTATTGATGGTACAGTTTCTGGATGATATTTTCCTTACTAAGGACGAATGGGATTGAAATCCACTGTAACTGATTATCTTATAAACTTAAATGGTGTAATACAAATTGTAAACAGTGATTTTCTTGAATCTAAGTGAAATTCCCTGAAAATGTTACAGATCTGATCATCAGCTCAAACTGAGAATCTCAACTTTCAGTGATTGTGGCACCTCTTGGTGTTTTAATCGAGGGGTTTGTTCATGAAATTAAAATAACTTATAAATGATGGAATGTTTATTATATTGTCTCTATTATTAAGCCATGATTTTATTATTTCACTTATTTTCATTTTTTTTGAGGGCAGAAGTGTCATAATGGAGCATGTGGAGATATTTTAAAATTTTGTGTTTTAAAATTCAAACCATCCCCAAAAATGTAATATCTTAACTTGTTAGAAAATTTTCGAAAAACAGGAAATACGATAATAAAAAAACTCCTGGAAAATTTATCGGAACTTTCTTCTGTGTTGTCCTTTGAGGTTTTTTTTACCTGTATGACCAACAAAAATTAGGTTTGTACTAATGTGATTTTATTTTAAGATCAACTTCATAACAAAAACATCACGCAAAAAGTTTTTAAAAGAGTTCTTGTTACTTGTACTTATTGACAAAAAGTCGAGACTGATATAACGAAAACCAGTGAACTGTATGGCAAAACCTATTTACCTGGTAGTGTGTTAGGAGAACGGCTAGTCATCCCCATAACCCTGGGGTGTAACGATCTCTCTGATGACACCGTCCAGCCATTGTTTACCTCCGTGGGCACTGTATTACCTGTACCCTACCTGACATATTACCTGTACAGGTATATATATAAGCTGTAGGTTACCAAACACTAACGAGAATGGAAATCTTATCCTATTTTTGTGAACAGCAGCAGAAAATCGGGATTGATAAGAGCCGAGACTTGATATGTATCACCAATGCTCCAAGTATTGTGTGCACTGTTCGGGTTTTATGAATGAAGTCGTCAGCACTGTTTGTATATGATCTAATTTCATTTCAATCTGCTGGCTCGAAAACAATTGATATCAAGTCACTGATATTTCTACTTACCTATATATACGATACTGTTAAGGTGTGTATAGGGATCTAATTAGGGGTCCCAGGGTTCTATTTAGGTGAAATACTCCTCAATTAGGGGAAACTCGAAATAGTCAAGGACGGAGGGTAGATAATATTTGTTTTCAATTAAATATTTTAGTAATGTAAAAGTCAAAAAAATAATGTCCTGCTCATGATGCTTATGTTTTGTAACAAGATGAGGAAATCAACACTTGTTCAATTTGTTGTCAAGCTGTAAGTTAAAGATTTTGAAATTGAAGATTTTGATCAGGTGATGGTAAAATTAAAAAGGAAATAGATTACTTATAAAAGTGAGCTTGATTTAACCCTATGCTTAGTAAGATAGTATTTTACCAGAGAATTGTATAAAAGACCTTATATTAGGTATTCTAGTAGTGAGTACACTAGGCCCCTGTTATAGATACAATTGTAGGGAACGTACAATATATTATCTATAGGTACTGTATGTTTGTCTGTGTTCACTGGTCAGCCCACCCCCTTGAAAATAATAGATTTTTTATAATGTCAAGTTCATAAAAGACCTTCGTTGTTAATAGGAGGTTACACCTAGAACACCAAACCTTATATGGGGATTCATAAGACACTTTGCCCCCTAACGTTAAGAGTATAATCCTTGAGTATAATATACCTAGGAATTGTATGTTAATAATTAGTCCATGTTCACTGATAAGTCCACCCTCTTGTAAATCAAATTATATAAATCAATGTCACATCTGATCAATAGTTCTTTTGCATTTAGGGATCAAATTTTGGTATATGGATCAGGTTTTAAATACTGAATATGCATTATGATCATATCACAAAGTTAGCCCAGTGAAGAAACCTTGTTAGTTTGATTTACATAGTGTAACTGTTTATCACATCAAGACGTACAATGAGAAAAGACATCCACAGAGCCTATATAAGAAAGTCACCACTGTTTTCTAAGCTTTAAGCCTGTACATGATTTTTTTTACTTGCGATAATTTGTTACCCAGGCAACAGAACATGATATTAAATGAATTTTGTTTCAAATCACTTGATATAAACCAAACTTTGAAAGAAATTTATAGAGAGCTTAATTGTTTTTTCAGGAAATCATGATATTAACTGTAATGTGACATTAAGTGGAATCCTGTCTATCCAATGAATAGCAATTTTTCAGATATTTTACCATACACTGTTCTTCAACTGTTTACAACCTTGCAGAAAGAGAGTAATTTAAGTAACTGGTTTTGTAGGAGTTGTCTCCCTTGCATCTGGTTTTACATGGTTTAGTAATATGATTTTAATGAACTTCCTATTGCTATCTTTTCAGGCTGAAGATCACCCAAAAGTAGCCCATCGATTTCGACACTACTTTTTTAATCGTCCAAGGACGTGTTTTGTGTGTAAACAGAAAGTTCTTAGTCAAGGGAGTGCTTGTCAAGGTAAGAAAATCGTTCTCATATTTACAACAACAAAACTGAGGCTCATTCTTTTATTAATTTTATGTCATTATTTTCTTTTTGACAACCAATTAAGGATCTTTAAAAGTTCTTAAACATCAGTGATTGGAGGGGGGCACAATGAGTTTCCAAGGGTTTTGTTGTAGACAGAATGCTATTAATTAGAGACATAAATAGTTAGCTGAGGGCTGGACAATGTAAAAATGAGGTTTTTAATTTTAATTTATGCAAAGTCATTTTGAAATTTAAGTTAAGGATACATTAAGCTGATATAATTTGTCATCATACTTGTTTATAGAATAAACAACTAGGGGTTTCTTTTTTTCCATGAAGACATTTGTATTTAGCAAGTTGAAAAAATAATTCTATTGACTTTTCAATCTTAAAAGGTGATGCTATGGAAATTGTAAATTTATTTTGTATGTGTCCAAGAGACGTGAAGCTTCATTAAGTAATGGAATAATAAAAATGTTTTACTTACTTTAAACGGTTTTGGTCTGACTGCAAAACAAGACACCTTGACCATGTAGTATTGATGCAAAATTATAAAAATCACACTGACTTATTTTGTATCCACCTTCCAAAACAATTCCATTCTAGGAAATATGGTTTTGCATGATAGTTTTGACTTGGGAAATGAATTGATGACACATTTGTCGTACTGTAATTGGGGATGCTAAATGGATCACAAAGGGAGACAACTAACATAAATCACAGGTATAATGTGAAGAACATACCATTGAACCCTAACACTAATACTGCTTAACCCTTTCACCCCTATGTAATTTTAGTAGACACTACAATGCATTGATATGGATGACAGTGCTGAAAGGGTTTACTTAATTATTGCATATTGTAACATATTTTCATCCTGTCTAATTTTACCCTCCCATCTTTCTAACATATGTTGGGCCGATGCTCAAATTTCCCTTCTGTTTGAAAGTTTGCTTTAAATACATTTCACTTTCTTGTCCACGGAGAAAAGATCAAACAGGAAGATGTGGGTGAATTTGTCCATTACACATTTTACGAGTAAAGAGAACTTTCAATATCTTGGACACTATATTGGAATCCATGGTTACTTAATGAACAGATTTTACATCCAGTGTCCTGTTCACTGTCGTTACCTATAGCATATGTAAGATGTTTCTGATTAATGCAACATGTAAATAAATATTTTCAAGAAAATGTGGGGTGGTTCTAAAAATCCTGAATTTTGAGAGTTTATAAACAGTTCAATAAAAAAGGGTAGGTTGGGTTTTTAGAATATACTTTTCTTTAGAAATGATTGATTTCAGAAATGAGAGGTTTGAGGGTTTAGAAATGTACTTTTCTTTAGAAATGATTGATTTCAGAAATGAGAGGTTTCGGGGTTTAGAAATATAGCTTTCTTTAGAAATGTTGGAATTATGAAAACAAGTTTTGTTTTAGAAAAAAAAGTGATATCAGAAACTACAATCATTGATTTTGAAAATGATTCATCTTTAGAACATTGGTAATATTTCTTATGTGAACTAGTAGAAATATATGTACGTTTGAAAGGGAATTCTAATTTGGAGAAAGAAGTTATATTATGCATGACATTTAAGAATAATTTCGTTCTATCAAACTAGTGAAGGCGATAAGGCTCGGAAAACTTAAACAGGTGCTCTAGAATTCTGCCTACAGCATTAAACCCATTCTTTTATTTCATGATTTCAAGAAACACAAAAATAAGTGGCTTGTTAAAATCGAAACTCTTAAATTCTTCAAAGAAGCCGGGAATGGAATTGAAACAGTTGAGTTCTTGAGGCATTACTGTGAGATGAATCATGATCACCACCACCTGGTAAATGTCCGACTTCAGTGTTTCTCAACTTCCTGTATTCCAGCATTGGCATTTCTAGGTAATGAGAAAAAAGTCAAGATCCTCCATAACGGTTTGAACTTTCTACCTAAAAAAACAAGTCAGTTGAGCAGTAAATTGAGCCTTGGAGGTGAGCTAGGGTTCCTGAAACATTGCGCAGGTCCCAGAATGCTCTATAAACAATGGAGGCTGGTATCCTTCTCTGAGATTATGTATACAGTTAGAATTTGGTTTACACTTCACCAGCTTTCTCGGGAACAATCGGTTGTCAGATTGAGTAAATATTTATTCTGGTGAAGCTTCCCTCACCTGTGAAAGAAAGTATGCGGGGATATTATGGGATGTAGGCCTATGGAAATATCATGGCCAGCTGTATTGCCACATCTTCACCAAATAGTGTTAAATCAAAAAATATCATATCTTCAATAAGTCAAAAGATATCATGCTTGCCAATTCTCCCTATTTTTGATGGAGACTCTCGATTTTGAACACTGAAATTGAACATTTTCAACCAGTGAATTTCCTATACCATTCCTATCTTCTAAGATCTGCTAATTTCATCTGAAAGAACGGCTCAAAAGATGCCATTATTTAAATGAATTATTGAATTATTTGAGTTATTTGAGGTATTAGACAATAGATGCATTAATACAAACCTTCTCAACCTTCTTTATTTTATTCCACTTACAAGTTAACATTAGCATATCTCATGTACTTAACTTCTGTAAACTTTTAAACATTTCTGAATTCTTCTGGAAACATTTGTGTGAAAATGGACCATGGTATTTTTATGTACTGTAATTTTTCAGCATGGGGATCACACATTGACACATATACCAGGTGTTCATTTAAGCAATGAACTATTCTCAGGTGGCTTTCATAGGCAGTATGGATGCCAACGTGTCAAATCCAAATTCGATGAAGTGTGCACATGTGCTATGGTACTTCATGTTGGATTTGACGTTGTCTAGTTTACATTCATATTGCCTTTGATTGCCAACTGAAAGCAGTTCAATGCTGATGTTTACCATTTTTGAAATCTGTTTATCTCAAAGAAAATTTAATTACACTTATTATTATTCAGCATTTAGTTTAAATAATGTATTTATCATATATACTTGTTCAATGAACGGGACAGCCATCTGTCCGGGGAGAGTCATTGGTATACAATGTAACAACTAATTAAGATGTCAATATTATGATGACGGCAGCAATTGGTGCATGGCATTCATAGCCTGTATGAATGCAATCTGAATTTGGTAGGGTTATTTAGTGGCAATGCCATATGATGATAGCCATATATACCTATTGTTGACCTCAAAGGTCAAATATCATTGACCTCTTGCCTCCTCTACTCCCCAGAGATGTAGGTTAATTAAGAGAGTCTGTCTAGGCCTACATGTACATAAACACACTAGTTTGTTTGGTATTATAGCTATGGACCTAGGCTATTACTATCATGGGCATTTAGGGTGTTTGAAGTTGATAGAAATCCTTTAGAAGTTGTGCATTTCCTGAATGCAGTAATTTATTTTTACAATAATTGAACCATGTCAAAGTTTTATGAACTTTTCTAGGCTTCAGTTAAAACTTTTCCTACAACAAAATTGAAAAGAAAAATCTATTTTAATGAAATCAAAGCCAGAATCATTTAAAAATATAGTATACAATTGTTTCATGGCTATTTGGGGAATAGTCAAAACTATCATCCCGAGGTAGGGGGAAGCCCTGGGGAACTGTTAGCCATAATTTTTTCCATAAAACGTTGTATCAATAGAAATGTCTTCCAGGCTTAGCTCCTTTTTGAAATGCTTGTTCCAGGGCTGTGTAGGACTGATATTTTCTGGAGTATTCTTCATGAAAAAAATGGTCAAAGTTTCAAGTTTAGGGATTCAAGATGGCTGCTGTTGCCTCTGATTGGACAAACATTTAGTATGACTGAATTTCTATTAGACTCAATTTCAACATTGATGAAAATGCAATTGCTATAATGGACCTGCATCTTTTAATTTGTGATTGCAAAAGTCATTTTGGTTTTGCCCTTCTAGTATAGAAATATTTTTATGAATTCTTGATGTGATAAATGAGGTTATTCTGTGCAGGAATAGTATCCCTTTTTATGTTTTTCAGTTTGCAGATATATATGCCACAGACAATGTGAAAATCAGGTAAGGAATTTAGCTTATTTACATTTAGATTTGTTTTCAGAGTGACATTTAAGTGACCTTCAGCTGTCCTTCATTTGTATGAAGGTTACAAGTAAGGTTATAAAGGGAGGTAACACTGACACTATGATGTCTTAAATAGGAAGTTTATTATCATGGATCTTATTTAACACATTTCTGCTAGTAACAGTTTTTTTTCTTTAAATGGTGTAACAAATGAAAATCTATGTTGTACCGATTTCCACTGGAATCTATGTAGTAACATTGTATGGTGTAAGGGGAGGTAACTCTAAATTGTGAATTACATTGTATCGTTGTCAGGGGAAGTAACTCTAAAGTGTGAGTAACATTGTATGATGGTAAAGGGAGATAACTCTTAAGTGTGCCCATATTTTGAGTGTGTACATATATATATATTATCCAGTCATTTATGTTAACCCTTTTCCACTGCTTTTGACAGTAATTTCTTTAAATGCTGTAAACTGCAAAATTTTGGTGTGGTTGTCTCCATATAAACCAATAGAAAATTTGAAATTTACAGTACACAAGTAATAAGTATCCCTGAAAGCCATTGGTGGGTGTGGATGGAAATGTATGCATTATTTGGTCAATTTTCTAATGTCCATCCATTAATGTCAGTTCCAATGCCGTTGACATTTAAGATAAAAAATCTGCTTCATCATCTATCATAGAAATCTTGTTCAGTCTGACTCTTGACAAGGTCATCAGTAACTGTGATGGATGTAAGTGCATTGATGATGGAGACCCAATTAGAGAGCTGACATTTGTGTGTAAATGGGACTCACACACTTTATCCCTTGTATTTAAATATCTCCCATCTGGTCAGTACAGATATCAACTTTTAAAAAGCTGACATCTGATTAAACATATCCATTATAAACCCATCATCTCATGTCTAAGTTTGTATATATCACAGAATAACATTAGGTTACAATGTACATGTATTTGTTAAGTTCTTACATGAATTTGTTTATGACATCTGTTCAAGGCCTCAAATTTCAAAAGTTGACATCTATTTCTACATGGGCTAGAACCTTATATTCCATGTATATTGATTTGAATCGATGATACTTCAATAACAATATCGCCTACTCGTGTGGCCATGCATTTGGTCCTCAGCCAGAAGTGGTCAACATATAAATAGTGGTCAACAACCAGCACTGACCGGGTGATAGGAGTGACCAATGGGCCAATGTTTATATTTGTATATCAATGATATTGACCACCCACGATCATAAATACTGTAAAGTCTATATTTACGACCCTGTCAACTGTCAATGACAAATGGCGGACATTTAAATGCTAAAAGGTTTATGTTGAAATGAAGTTATTTGTTTAAATCTGATACTGCTGAATATTATGACCCAGCATATAGGGATATCATACCAGCGGATGGTAAGAAGTTGGAGGAAACTTATTAATCATTTTTATGATTTTTGGATATGGAATTAAAGATCAGGACAGTTTGTAGCCATCACTTTCAAGTTTACAATGGAAAACTTGGACCACATATAGGGTTAACTCATTCACCCCTACATTTTTAAACTGGACTTGCCCAGCCATAGATATGGTATGGTTCAAATACGACTTTAGGGGTGAATGGGTTAATGGACTCTTAATCCCTTTATAAGGACTTAACCAATTTATAATTTCACAGAATGTTTAGTTTTTAAATTTAGAAAATGTACAGATGCTTGGTCATGCAACTCGCAAATCTATTTATACTGCTGGTTGGTTGGGATTAGAACCCAGACATTCTAGGTCAAGATCATTTGCATTAACACTGTTAGCTGCTTTAGACCTGATCTGCCATCACTGGTGCTGCTGGTTTGTCTTAAATTTCCCTGAAGATTCAAACCCATTTCTGCCGTCACAGCACAAGCATACTGTTACTTCTGTTGGAAGAAGTCTGAATGTAGTGTTGAGTTGAGTCCTCTTTACCCAGAGTCGTACTTTAAGACTGGGTCAGTCACAAGCAACCCCATACCGAAAAAAGTTACAAAAAAGTTACTTCTATTTAGGTACAAAAAAGTTATAACTTTTGATGCTAGATTGGAACCTTGTGAGAAGAGAGTTTCAATCTAGTACTAAAAAGTTACAAAAAGGTATTAAAAAGTTACACTCAAACACTTTGTTCAGTTCAATCATTACTTTATTTGCAAACAAAAGGTACACAAAAGTTACATTTAGCCACTTAAGCACTAGTGAAAAAGGTATCATAAAGTTATAACTTTATTTAGTTACTAAAAAGGTACAAAAAAGTTATGCTTTTCTGAGATACTGAAAA